CGTAGCCGTCCCTGGCTGTGTACACCTGGGTGCCGCCCACCACCGAGAAGCGGGTTGCGCCATAGGCGGCGTAGCCCCCAAAGTAGGTGGTGGCGGCGGGGACGTCGCTGGCCTGCACGGTGTTGGCGCCGCTCAACTGCGTCATGCTCTGCTCGTAGCTCGGGTCGGCCATGTCGATGTAGAGGTCGCCGTAGTAGGTGAGGGCCAGGCTGCCGCCGACGTACATGGGCGCCGAGGACTTGGGCTCGCCGTCCTCCCCGAGGTACAACCCCACCACGCCGGCGTCGGAAACGACGTACAGCTGCTCGACGGCGTCGGGGCCGGTGCCTGTGACGCGCACCACCGCCGGGTCGCTGACCATGCCGTTGGCGTCGGCCTCCCCCGCCACAAACAGGTGCACGGTGCCGGCGGTGAGGTCGGCCGCCATGCCGCTGATCACGTGCGTGGCCAGGGTGTATATGGTGAAGCGCAGGTTGCCCTCGTCCACCGGGAAGGCGGTGGTGGGGGGCACGACGTAGACGCGCACGCGCGCCGTGCCGATGTACTCTTCGCCGGTGGCGTAGACGAGCGCGCCGCTGCCGCTGGCATCCATGCAGCACGCCGTAGACACGAACTGCATGTCGTCCACCGCCGCGGTGACCTCCTTGGTAGTTAGGTCCACCTTGTGGATTTTGGTGCCGGCGGAGGCCAGGAAGAAGAGGGCGCCGTTGTGGATGCCGCAGATCTCGCCGGGACGGTCCAGCCCCGACAGGAACACCGACTGCTGGAAGCCGTTGGCGGTGGAGGCGGCGGGGGCGGCCACAAACATGAGGCCGCTGGCCCAGTCGGTCGCAAACATGCGGCCATCGGGAGCGACAGCCAGGCCCGAGGCCGCGCCCCAGAACCGAAAGGTGGCTGTCGGGGTGGCCTCGCCATCCTTCAGCCGCAGGTTCTTGCCGCCGTAAAGGTACCTGCACACCGGCGGCGGCAGCGGTGGAATGCGGCGCTCGTGGGGGGGCAGCTAGGCCGCCAGCTGGCTGTGCGGGGCGGCAGCGGGCAGGCATGGCGGTCCCCCAGGTCTGCAACAGCGAGGCAGCAGGCCGGCTTCCTCGCAGCTTCCCTCACCCCTTGTGCGGGAACAAGTAGCCGGCGCCACCTAGTGTGTCGGTCACGCTGACTGGGTTGCTCGTGCCGCTGTTGGCCCACGCCCAAGTGGTGGTGGGGTTGGTCCTGCACAGGGGAGTGCCACCGCGGCAGCATGCGTGTGGGCGGCGGCAG